TAGCACCTCTAGTAATATATGTACTGAGAAAAATGGTGACGTGTTCAATACTTATTTTACCCGCTGTATAATGCATACATGTGAGCAGAGAAGCCATAAGCATTTCAACTAGTGACGTGCCCTCATCTACACGCAATGCTTTGTCTTTCCTGTGTTTTTTATGCACAGAGATATTGAGAGGGGGTATAATGGCTCAACAAACTGACTGTCTGGGTGGGTATGTGTATGAGTGAGCATTTGTTAATGTCCCTCTCTGCTCTGCCTTTCTAGTATTTCATTACTATGTCAGACTGGATGGGCTGTGTCCGCAGGTATTGATCCAATGGCTGGGCTGCAGGGTAAAAAAAGCCTTCCAAAACAGGAAAATGGCAGGAGACAATGGAAAAGAAAATGGTTTGGTCAATGGAGGCAAGAGGCACTGACCTTAGCAATGGAAGCAATTTCCCACAAAATCCTTAAAGCTTTATTTCTAAGGAATTCCATTATACTATACTTAATTTAATTCCTATGCATGTTTCTTAGCAGCCATTTGATATGTTTGCATGTAGTAAGGATCTCAGTATGACAGTTACCAAAAAGAAAATGTATTCAAATTATTTCAATAGCCTGTAGAGACTGTGTGACTATTTGGGCAGTTCTGCTGGGAAACCATAGGTCCAAGTCCTGCCATTCAYTTTGACAACACATTCCACCTACCTAAACAAGWACAACTCTTGATGGCAGGAAGATATTTCAAACAAATAATGTGCCTGGCCATGAAACAGTAATGACATACGCTAGGTTCATACTGTAGGTCTTAATGCTCAAATCAAATTTCTGGAAAAAAAATCGGATTTTTTTGGCATGACATTATATTTTAAACGCGACCTCCATCAGATTCCAGTGTGAACAATCCACAGCACTAAAGTGACCTGCATGCACAGAAGATGACCTGACATCACATTCAGCTGGCTGTTTACAGCACAGACATCAAAGCTAAACTTGGACGATACTTGTGAGCATGTCAGTTCTGAATTTGTTGTGAAATCAGAGACAATAAAATAATTATCTGACATGCTTGTTTAGGTCAGTGTTTATATCTGAACCTGCCACTGACCAGATGCTATTGTGTGGCATTTTATTTTTGGAATTAAGCTATGTGCTTGAATTAAAGTATCGATTGGGTAACTCTAGTATCGATAAGGTTCAACAACATTACTATCATGTTTCTGGGGATTCTCAGTCATCCAGGACATTAAAAAATTAATAAMAAAGACAAAACAACTGGACTTCCATTCTGTAGCTGAAGACATTCRGAGCTACAAGATTTAAACAGCACGACTCAAGGTCAGTGACATTACTATTGGACTGGCAAAACTTTCACACAACTAAAAAAATCTTGCTGACAAAGATCAAAAGACTGGGTGGATATGGATATGATGTTTGTGAAGGAAATAATGAATTATGTTACTGAACCATTTACATATGTAATTTATCATTTTCAACAGGTATATTTCCAGACAACATGAAAATAGCCAAGGTAATCCCTCTCTATAAAAATGGTGAGAAATGTATGTCTACAAATTATCGGTCAATATCCTTTTTGCCACAGTTTTCAAAAAAATTGGAAAAAATTATTTGTGACTAGACTAGATCAATTTAATGATTAACAGAAAATATTAAGTAGCAGTCAATATGGGTTTAGAGCAAATAACKACATCAATGGCTCTCATGGAATTGATTGAGCAAATAAACACTGCTGTTGACCAAAAATATTATTGTCTTATGCTATGTTCACCCCGACTGCTTTTTGAGCATCTGAAAAAATGCCTCGAGTTGGACGCACTACGTTCAGACCGGGACACAGACTAGACGCACATCTGAAGAGGTCGGAGCGTCTTTTTTTCCCCCRTCTGTCTTTAATGGCGGATGAAATAAAGATRAAATAAAGAAAATGGCTTTGCTTTATTTACTGAGAGCAAGCGAACATTGCGCACACCAGATAATTAATTCTCCAGATAATTCAGAGGTGGTTTGTTCAGTAAGTTCACTCCAGGAGCTGCAAGCTGACAAACTATTTTTGTCCCAAGCCCAGTTTAACACCGCGGTCAGTTTAAGAAGCTGCTGACCCACATTGGTGCTGATATCTCCAGCCAAAACACCAACTACAGACGCTCGATTTCAGCTAAAGAGCTCCTGTCAGTCTGTTTCAGGTTAGTGGGCAACATTCAGGAAACTGTCATGTGGAAAAATGATGCTCTCTGTTTGGTTGATGTGGCGGGTCGAGCAGCAAAAGTTCAGATTTATGAATTCCAGCATCAACTGCTTTGGACGTGCCGCAGGCACATCAATGCTCAAACTGCACCTATCGCTTCACAACTCGCTGCACTAAACGCTCTAGACGCGCCAAGAGACCCCCTACACGCGCATCCACCATAGACTTTGCATGTAAACCGGCTGCTCAAAACKCGTTCGRTGTGAACCCAGCTTTAGTATTTATGTTGATTAAAGAAAGCATTGGACACAATTGACCACACTATTCGTCTTGAAAAGCTGAACAAATATGGCAAATGTGGCTACAGGGTGGGCCATTTAAATGTATACAAGTAAATAAAATGGGAATGTTGGTGATATTAACTCCGTTTGTGGCACATTCGTATTTTCGGAGGGGGGAAACTTTTCAAGATGGGTGGTGACCATGGCGGCCATTTTGAAGTTGGCCATTTTGGATCCAACTTTAGTTTTTTCAATGGGAAGAGGGTCATGTGACACATCAAACTTAGTGAGAATTTCACAAGRAAAAMCATTTGGTTTTAATKTAACTTTATTCTTTCAAGAGTTATATACAAGTTTCTCTGTTTACAGCCATTGACATGCYGCAGAGTTGAACACATGAGGAGCGGACAGAAATTGTGCTAATATCTGGTGAACGCAGTACCCGGGTCATTGCAGCAGATTTCAATGCAGGACACACTACGAGACCACCCATCTCCCATGCTACAGTTAGCAAACTGCTTGCCACRTTTTCGCGAAACTGGTTCAGTTTTGGATTTGCCAAAATGTGGATGCATGAAAACTGTCACTAATGAAGAAACATCAGTGGCTGTCCTAGCTTCATTCAGCAAGAGCCCACAGCGTAGCACTTGCCGCATGTCAKTCAAGTGTGGCATCAGTAGAACATCCCT